CCCTCATAAGTAGTGAATTTGGGCTGGTGGAAGCCTGAGGGTAATGGTGCGTCCTCAATTGCCGAAACGAACGGCGAGCTCTGCAACCTTGCTAACACTTTGTCTGCTGGTTCATAAGCAAGGCACAGCTCTGGTATTCCTACCTCGGTACTCCTATGTGTTCTAGGAACCAATCGTTGTAGTGTGGAAACTCTGCGGGGGTCGCGAGCTTGAGTGTCTTCTCTCCTTCGAGCCCTTTCAGTCCTCATTCTCTCAGGCCTGGAGTAGCATGTCCTGGAAGTCTTTGATTGTGTATTGCCCGACTTGAGACTTTTTCTTTCAGCTTGTGATGGTGTGACTTGTCTGTCACGATCACTTGAGTGGCAAGAGTGTGTTTTGCCTTTGCGCCCCTCTTTTGCTGCCACCCTTTTGCCTTTTATCTGGCTCTTCATAAACTCTATGTCAGCCGCCATTCTTCTTATTACTTCGTCTTGCTCCCTTACGCGATCTTCGAGAACCTAAGGATCTATCTTCCGTCTCTATCTATCAGGGCTTTGAAAGGGGTATGAAATTGAGCCCCGTCTTTCTCTTACTTTTCTCCGCGAATTCCTTTGCTGGGGATCTAATTTCGCCATGGGTGGGATAGAAGGTAAACCTTCGCGCCTCCCACCCCCTTCCGGTGTTTGCCCATCAATAGCAGATTGTGGCAAGTCTTCATTGTGCGCCATTGCTTTCAACTAGAGAGAAAAACTTGATCAAGAAGTTTTGCTCTTTATGAAATTTCCACATACGGCGCCAATTGTACGAGCACAAAATAATTCTTCTCGTATGATCCTGTTGATCAAGTTTGCACTCCTCCAAACAACGTTGTTTTACTACCTGAAAACACAAACATGAGCTAGCCGGCGGGTGTGTGCCGGAAACCCCTCCGATGCCTAAGTCAGCAAGTAGACAATAGATAATAAGCTTTGTGTATTCTAGAGAAAGAATTGGGATACCTGTACAAAGGTCTGGTCATGAGCTTTTATAGACTTTACTTTGGCACCATCCTAGTAGGATGCCAACTCTCTCTATGAGAGTCCTCCTAGGAATCACACACTCTACTCACTACCAACCAAGTGAGATGCTTTTGTACAATCCTAGTAGGACTCTACTCTCCTTAGCAGAGTCCTACTAGGAGTCTCATCACTGCAAGCCAAGTGAGATGACTGAACCCTTCACCTCGATTATACATTTATGACCGAACTGCCTTATCCCGGTCCCCTACCATTCGGACCATTTGATTGGAAACCGATCTAATGAATGCCACCCTGCCGAGCTATACATAGCTCGGCCCTCGTCATTGATGTTACCTCGGCTGACACATTTACCTCGGCTGATATTGCGGTCAACCAGGTTATTTTGGCTCGGTGATACTTTAAGCACCACTAGCAGTCTCCGACCGAACTAACAAGGACGATGACCAACTTACGAAGCCCAAACACCTTGGCCCATAGTTCGGCCAAAATCCGTAACGTCTTCTTGGCCTAAGACCGAGCTACACCAGCCCTTATCTCGGCCCATTGCACGGCCCAACTTCCAAAGAAGACTTTCCTAGCTCGGCCCAATTTGTTTACAAATTACCCTCTCATTAACAAATCGAGATTTCTTTAAAAATCAAGAAATTTCTCATATATGTCAAAAATTTTCCATAAAATTTCATATTTTATATATATTTTATTTGATATATCTTGATAAATAGATTTTAAATATATAAATTTATTTTTCAAAAAATTGGATGCAAGTAACAAAAATTTTAAAATTTAAAACAAAAAACAACCAAATTGATACCTCAACCAGTTCTTAGCACTAAACTCATAATATTTTTAGAATGTTTAGTAGGGAGTCTAAAAGAGGAAAAAAAATATGGGAGAATTACACTGATATTGTGTCAGTGAAACTTATTTATCCAAAAATAAAAAAATTATAAACATTAATAATTAATATTATAATTTTTTTTATTAATTTATAAAAAAATTTCACTGACCCAACTGTTTGATAATTGTCCCAAAAAATATTAAGTATAACAGTAGCATCATTTTCTGTTGTGTTATCAATCAATAAAAACTAGTAAATGAACTAAATCAACAAGTCTTGTCTTTCACTAACTCAACATTGTTATTGATTTCTGCTGCAAATTAAAATTACTTAGTAAATAGTGATATTGTTACGTGATATCACTGTTCCATCTACTATTTGTCTACTAATCTACTAATATTATAAAAGTGTGAAGAATTATCATGTTTTTTACTTTTTGTGTATTCTAAAAATACCCTCTCAAACTTATTAAATTAAATATCAACAAAACCACAAACAATATAGACATCTTTCAAGATTCAAACATCTTTCAATATAGACATCTAGCTGGTTTTTTGTTTGGATGCTGGTGGCTGTAGGTGCGATGTTGGATTTTGTTGTGTAGATGCAGTTTTGGTTGCAGGTTACTGGTCTGTTTTTCTGATATGCACTGTTGATGTCTGCTTTGATGAAGCTTTTTGTGTTGTGCTCAGAGGCTTGGTTGGGTTTTATAGGGCTGAGGTATATATATGGTAGTTTGCTAATGTATGAGATTGTTATGGTCTGGGCAAATAACTTGAGGTGTCCTTAGACTTAAGTGGTTTTGGTAATATGTATGCTACTGATGCTATGTTGTTTTGCTGGTGTGATTTGTGGATGGCTGTTGTGTTCTGCAGATGGTGGAGATGTTTGGCCTACAAGTGGTATGTTGCTTTATTACTACTGTATGGTCTGAAGCTGGGAAGAGGTGGATGGCTGCTGTGTTCTACTGGTGGATGGCTGTTGTGTTCTGCAGTTGAGGTGCTATGTTTGGTAATTTGTATGCTGTTGGTGCTCTATTGATCTGCTGGTGTGATATGTGGATGGCTGCAGTGTTCTGCAGATGGTGGAGCTGTTCGGCCTACAGGTGGATGGCTGCTGTGTTCTGCAGGGGGATGGTTGTGTGCCTCTGTCAACAGATTTGTTTAGCATGGGAGCTGCTGGGTAAAGATTTGTATCACATATGAAGGAGTTGAGGAAGAGGATTTGATCTGTTTTGCACCAGTCTTGCGTTGTTGTGAGGAATGGAGTGAATCTAGGTGATGTTTTGTAGCACATTTGGGGTTGCACTAGGTGAAGTTTTGCAATAGTCTGAATGGTGGCTGTTGTGATCTGTTTTGTTTTTTAGGTGTGGAGTGGAGGTTCTTTGTTGTTTTTTTTCCTTTCTTTTTTGGTTCTTTAGATTGGTTTCTCACCAATCTTGGGTTAAGTGCTAGCAAAGGATTGTGCTTCCTTATCGGTGCCAACCTAGTTGGGATTGGTAAGGTTAGTTATAATGTTATTTGTACTTTCCTTCTTTATTGATGTAAGTTTTCGCATATTTCTTGCTTTCTTCATTAATAAAGTTTCTTTTTGCTGATTAAAAAAAAAAAAAAAAACTTTAAAATAACCAAACACCTTAAAACATCACAATATACTATCAAGCACCTTGAATGTTTTGGACTCATGACTTATATCCAATTATACTATCACTTTGTCAATTTTTTTTTTTTTTTTCCTTTAGTCTATCTAAAGGCTCATGGGCTATAGGTGTTGAACCGTACTATATTTGTTATTTTATAAGGTATGCATCTTTGTTATTTCATATATTTGTTATTTTATAAGGTATACATTTCTTTTGTTTCTTGTTTGTCTGATGATGTTGATCCTAGGTTTTAAATCTACCAGCAACTCCGCAAAATATTTCGGTGTTTCGAATTATGTATGTTCTCTATGTATGAAGACCATCAAGGTGTCCAATTATACTATCACTTTGTCAATTTTTTTTAATTTTTTAATTTTTTTTCTTTACTATATCTACAGACTCATGGGCTTTGGGTGTTGAACAATACTATATTTGTTATCAGCTAAAGTTTTGTTAGCTGATAATAGTGTAATCTTTGAAGTAGTTGAATAAAAAAATTGTTGCGAACAAGTCTTTCAATGGATTTTTTGGAACATTGTAATATCAAAATAGTGGTGTAGAGTACTTTCATTGCATTCGTACTTCAATTTTAAAGATATATTCATTCCAAATATTCTTATGATTTTTCTGAGAGTGTCAAAACTATTCTTCTTTGATAAATTATCTCTTTCTTGTCTATCACTTGATAATATATTAGTTGATTAACTCTTATCTGATTATAACAAGATTTTTATTTATAAGAATTACAACTTTTAATGTTAAAAACACTTAAAGTTCTCATTATAACTACTCTTTGTTAAATTTTGTAATTTAAGTAAACAAACCTTTAAAAAAAAATATTATAACTGCTCTCCAATGCAACAATAAGTACAAAATGAATTATAAAGATCGCATATCTAGGAAGATTGTAACAGAAGAAGTACAAAATGACGAAAATCAATATGAAATAGAAAATACAAATACAACAAATTTTCAAAATCCCTCAAAGAGGATCAAACTGGAGAATGAATGAATTTTGTAAAATATTTTTATCTTTCAATTTCCAATATTTTATTTCTTCACCTTAAATAATAATAGTATTACAATGTTAGTTGGGTATTTTATTTGTTCATCTTTTAATTACAAAATGGTTTCTGCATACATACACATAACAAAAGTGAAATACCCTAGTGAATTATATATTTAATAGTAATAAGTCTAACCATATGATATGGGCTGTAATTATTTTATATGATTGTTTCAATCTACTTTCTAAATTTTAATACTTAAACAGAAATATAAATGTCCTCCATACGTATGAAATCATAGATTATTTTCTTGATGAATTGACAAAAAAAAAATCCACATATAAAGATCCGACTTATCAAATTTCAACCAAACAATATATGTACTTTCAAATATAAACATTTAACATTAACAAAAAAACTAACAAAATGGTTCAAAAAGTAAAACTAATATAAACCTAACATTTCTCTTAAACATTATAAGGCAAAACAGAAAACAGCCAATAATTCAGGGTGTTCATTGTAATTCAACCAATTAAAAAGTTGAGAATTTAATTTCAAACTCTGAATAAATTATTGGAACTCCCTCCAAAAACCGTTAATTGAAACAATGAGCGTTCCCGCCTACGCGGCCACCCCAACCACACAGCTCTCTCCTCCTCCGCCGCCGCCGCCATCACCATCCATACACCCAAACACAACCCCCAACCTATTTCTCTCCAACAAAAAGTTCCCAAATCACCAACTTCCCTTGAGACAGACCAACAACAAACCCCCTTCTGACCCCCAGAGTCTCATGGACCTACTCAATTTCTCGCCACTCTCGCAACGGCCGATTAGCAGAGCACGCTGCAGAGTTCACCCGCATGAGGGTCTCCGGCGTCGATCCCAATCACATCACTTTCATGACCCTTCTCTCTGCATGCGCCGATTTTCCTTCTCGAAGTCTGTGTTTCGGGAAATCTGTTCATGGTTATGTTCGTAAATTGGGTTTGGATCGAAACAATATCAAGGTGGGTACGGCTGTTGTTGATATGTACTCCAAATGCGGCCTCGTAGATCTCGCTAGGTTAAGTTTTGATGAGATGGGTGTGAAGAATAGAGTGTCTTGGAATACGATGATTGATGGGTATATGAGGAATGGTCGAATAGAGGATGCAATTGAATTGTTCGATGAAATGCCGGAGAGAGATGCAGTGTCGTGGACGGCTTTGGTTTGTGGGTTTGTCAAGAAAGGTCACTTTGAGCAAGCTTTGGAGTGGTTTCTTGAAAGGCAGCTCTCTGGGGTTGAACCCAATTATGTGACGATCATTGCTGTACTCTCCTCTTGTGCCAATTTGGGGACACTTGGGTTAGGTTTATGGGTACATCGACTTGTTTTGAGTAAGAAAATCAAGGACAATGTTCGGATAAATAACTCGTTGATAGACATGCACGCGCCGTGTGGATGTATTGAATTTTCTCGCCGAGTGTTTGAGAAAATGAAGATACGAACTGTGGTTTCGTGGAACTCAATCATTGTGGGGTTTGCGATGAATGGGAATGCAGAGGAGGCTATTGAATTCTTCAAATTGATGCAAATTGAAGGGTTCAAGCCAGACATGGTGAGTTTTACTGGCGCTCTTGCTGCTTGGAGCCACGCTGGCTTAGTGGATGAGGGGTTGATGCTCTTCGATGTCATAATGAGTGTTCATAGAATATCACCAAGAATTGAGAATTATGGGTGCGTTGTGGATCTTTATAGCCGCGCAGGGAGATTGGAAGAAGCATTGAATGTCATAGAAAACATGCCCATGAAACCAAATGAGGTTGTGTTGGGGTCTTTGTTGGCTGCATGTAGGACTTATGGGAATGTCAACTTAGCAGAAAGATTAATGAATCATCTTCTTCAATTGGACCCTAGTAGCGATTCTAATTATGTGCTTCTTTCAAATATATATGCAGCAGTTGGAAGTTGGGATGGAGCAAACATCGTGAGGAAGAAAATGAAGGATTTTGGTGTACAAAAGAAACCAGGAATCAGTTCCATAGAAATAGATTGTGATGTTCATGCATTCGTGGCTGGTGATAGATCTCATGTCGATACAGAACATATTTATGCAATGTTGGAGTGTATGCAGCTTGAGCTGAGGACATCCGGGTATATTCCTGAATCTAATGTAGGGGATTTATGTGAATATGATTGAAACTTTTCAGTTCTAAAATATGTATAGATTTAAATTGTTGTATGAAATGCAATTTTTCTAGTCTAAATTCATTATCAATTGATCTTACGTAAGTTTTTGAAAGTGAATGCAGCGGGAATTGGAAACAAAAGAATTAAGAAAGGTAGGAAAATTTTGGAAACAAAAACTAGAGCTTAAAAAAATGTTAAATGCATTATCAATAATAAGATGTTTGAATATTTTAACTAGGTTTAAAGGCTCAGTAAAGGATGAAAAAAATAATTACGAGGCACCACATAAACGTCTCTCAAGAACATCAAATAACGTCTGTGATTTAAAAATTATTCATCTATGATGTGTTTTGCAAATAAAAATTTCATCTCACGTATGGAAATACAATAAAGTAAAATGATTCAATAATCATATCATAAATTATTAATATATCAATTCTCATATAGTCCCAAACTGGGAGAGACATATCCCAACCAAATATATGCAGAATAAAATCATTAAAAATGATTTTACTAGCTAGTGCTATGATGATATTGTTAATCAATTTAAAATGATGATTATTATTTATTGTTAAAGTGTGATATAAAAAAATGTATAGTCATTTAAAACTTTGTTAACCTGTAATATCAGGGAACTAACTAATAATCTGTATAATAAAATTAAACCATTCAAGATAACATTAATAATAGTACAAAAAAAGTGTTGAAACAAACTAATTGAGGTTTTGTTTTAAAAACAACACTTCAAAATCGTGTTTTAAAGTTCTACTATTTAAAAATAAAAATAATAAAAAAAGAGTCATGGTTGCATCATCCTATGGGGGAACTTTCATCATGATTTTAGACGAGTACAAATCTGGAATATTACATCAAGGTTTGTTATTGCAGGAGCAGTGCATATCTGGATTCCTATCCATGAATGAACTGTGGCATGAAAAAGTCAGACTCTGACAGTCCTGTGTTTAAACCCCAAACCATCGCTTCACATCTTTTTTACATTGATGTTGCCTTTAATCATCAACTTCACTCTTCCAACTTGCATCATATAAAACCTGCTTTAATGTCTCATCAGAACTATAGGATTGTTGTAAAAAATTGGTTAATCAGAACTATAGGATTGTTGTAAAAAATTGGTTAAAAATTAATTTTTTAATTTTTTAAATTTTTTTAAAAAATATATAAAAAAATAAAGCGATAATATGATCTGAAATAAATTAAAATTTGAGTTTTAATTTTTTTTTTTTTTTTTTTTTTACACTCTTCCCAAAAAGCCCATAATACAGAGTGATTGACAAAAACAGTGGACTTGACCACATGCATATATTGATATATAAGTACATATTCCAAAGTGAGAAAAGAAGGGATAGTTAAAGCACTCTCCATGAATGGACGAAAAGGATATAGTACTACTACATCTCTGAGTTACATTACATGATGATCTAAGAACTGTAGCCAAGTAGATACTATATATATATATATATATATGTGTTGTTAAGTGGAAAAAAAGACAGCAAAGAGGAGCTTGAAATTGCATGCATTTAGGTAGAGCTAGTTGGGACCATTTTCATGGAGTGGTGGGCTTCTTTGGGCTGCCACCGTTATGGTGCAATGGGTCTGGACCTGATGGAACCTTCCTCAATTCCCACCCCTCCTCCATGCTTTCTTCACCACCATACCCATTTCTGTTTTTTGATGATCCATGGACATTTGTAGGACTACTCTTGAACAGAACCTGAACAGAATAACGGACACAAATCACTCTTGAAATTAAAAGCTGTCATCCAACATATAACATATATGCGTGTGTGTGTGTGTGTGTGTGTGTCTAAGCTCATTTACATTTACATGAAAATAGATTTAAATCAGAACCTTTCTGTTTTTAATCTCTTGGGCAGCTGCGTTCACGTAAAAGCATCCGTGGCCAGTGTTGCACTCTGCGAAAAAAATAAAAAATAAAAGGTTAAATACATACGAAGTTTTTTTTTTTATTTTAATTTTTAAATTTTTCTCCCATTGGTATGAGATTGAACATGATGAAGTCATTGAAAGTCTTGGTAAGCACACATTAAAGGTTAAATATATACAAAAATAAATAAAGAAAAACAGAAAGAAACAAAAAAGGAGAACTATAATAACATATTAGAAACCAAATACAAAATCGATACAGAAAACAAATGTATATGGATGGACAAAAAATTTGCATGATTTGTTGGTGTGGTCTATTATGAAAACTCTGTATTTTTTTTGTCCAAATTTGTGTTTAGTTTAAGTATTGAGAGAGAGACAGAGACAGAGAGAGAGACAGAGAGAGAGAGAGGACCAGAAGCTTGTTGAATGAGGACCATGCAGAAGAGAACCATGAGGAAAAAAGGGACAAGCTTAGGTGTAGAGGCCATGTGAAAGAAGCAAGCTACCCAACAGTTTTGCAGGGCTTAGAAAAGGGAATAGAAGTTGGGGGGTAAAAGTCCTGTAGATAAATAGTAGTGTAGTGAGAGGAGGAGGCAAGAGTTGAATAGTGGGAAGTCTGTGGAGAACCCAGTTTATAGAGGGATTTTGAAATGGTAGAAAATGATTACTTGTGCAGCCATTTCAGGAGAGTTTTGCAAGTATATCATTATGCCTCTGTTTGGTAGTTCGGTTGGGTTGAATTTAGGGCTATTTTAGTTATAAAAAAGTAAAATAGATTTTTAGTTTAATAAGATAAAATATCACATTTAATTTATAATTATTATATTTTTTTTCACAAAAATTAAAAAAGTTGAAAAGTTCTTCTCAAACGAAATTTTTTAATCCCAAATTAAAAAAGCCGAAAAACTAAAAAGTCAACATACTTCTCAAATGAACCATATATATTATAAGAACATAAGATAGATAGTAGTATATAATTCGAGTATTTGGAAAGAAGGTTGGATTAAAATAACATATTAAAAGAAAAATTGATTAAAGTAGTCCATAAGACAAAATGTCACATTTAATTCATAATCATTTCATTTTTTCCCTCACAATTATCAAATCAACTACAAAAAAAAAAAAACTAATTAATTTTTTAAATTGTTTGGGAAGAATTTTAGTTGGGTTTTTTCTCATTTTTTCCACTAAAAGACAAAAATTTTGCAAAACCAAAAAAAAAACGCATTCAAACAAAATATCACATCCAATCCCATAATCATTTTATTTTTTTCTCACAAACATCACATCCAACCACAAAAAAACCCAACTATCTTCCCAAACACAAAAACAAATTTCTTCAATAATATCCCACATCTAAAAAAATCTACATAAAAACCCACTTCCCAAACACCATCATAATAATTTTAGCCAAGTTAAAATAGTCAAAAAATTAAACAGTCAATTAAAATAGTCAACTTTTCATACAAAGCTAATATGATTACACTTGTATTATATTTTCATAAAAATCTTTCACAAAAATGCTTCTTCATAAATTCTGATTGCCCAGAGTCTATTCACTTATATTGTAGCATTAAATTATGATTAAATTTTTATCAATAAGAATTTATGAAAAAGTAATTTTGTAAGAAATTTTTGTGATGATAGATTATTTTTCAATATGATTAATAAGGATTGTGATTATGTGAGTTTTAAAATAAAGAAAACTAGAAGATAATAAGAGAGATACAATTCTCATCAATGAGACAAAAGAGATGACCATCGTCGTCGTTGTTCAAGCCACCATATGATTTGTGACGACACTATCTTCTTTAGTTTAGCCACGCCGTCACACCCAACGTGACTCCGTCAGATGGTTTAATCTTATGTTTGTACTACAAGGGAAAAGGGTTAGATGTAATAATAATGATAACCAAAGGGGTTGAGATACTTTCGTAAGGTTTTGGGGTATAAGTCATGAGGTTACAGGTTTTATACTTTTCATGGTTAACTCTTAGGGATTTGGTACAGTAGTTCTAGAACGGCTCTCTAAATGCTAGACGAATCGTATCCAGGACTTGGATGTAGAGTCGGATTCTGCCAACTGCGCACTCTGACTTAAATGGTGTATGTATTGTGGAGTCAGTGTATACACTCGAGGTATGTCCCTCATCCTATTCTGATTAAACTAACATTAGGTAATTGATTCTGAAATCGACGAAGGACAAATATGAAAGCTTACTCATTAACCAAAATAATAATAATGATGTACAAATATGAAACATGATTGGGAGATTAACCTCAAATAAATTTGAAAATTTTACATATGAGAGATTTCATCAAAAATTACTTATAAATACATGATAAATTTTATAATTTTACCTTTTAACATTTATAAATTTATCATTAATTGAAATTTTTTTTTCTACGTGATGTGAAATTATTCCAAAATTTTTTTGGGTGATACAAGACACCACTTGGCGATATCCCTCACCAATCTCTGAATATCATGTCTTTTTTGTTCTTTCATGTTTCAACACAAAATCATAAATTTTACCATTTCACTAATTACAATACTCTAAGTATCACATGCTCATATTCGAAGACCACCCAATAACTTCTCATAACCTCTACTAGAAAAATTATTAGATGAGAATGGGTAAAAATTATGCACTATTTCCACCAAACAGTTGTGGGTTTGTGTGTTTGATCCATAGTGTTTTATAATTTTTTTGAATTATTCATATTTTTTTGTTACAATATAAGTATATAATCTCTTATTACTGACTAGGCACAATGTCAATATGATGTTTCAAAATAATTTAACAAGTATTCATTGATGAGGGTAAATTATTTGGCATCTACATGCAGTATTTCAACTTAATTTTTATTAGTTTAAGCAATAGAGCTTATTTATTTCTATATTAATTTTAGAAGCCAATAAGTGTCATAAGAAAAATGATGTGGAGAATCATTTGAACACCACCAAATAATTCTTTACCATCAATCACAAATAATTATATTTTTGTCTTACTCTCTTTTAAATTTCAATACTTTCGTGTTATTTTAGTTGCTTTGCTACATGAGAATAGGTGATTTTTTTTAATATTTTGGCCTGGTGCAATTATTCTCCTCTTAAAAAATTCTTTAAATATATACATATATATTTTTGTTTTTAAATAGGATTTAT